TTGCCCTTAGTTTCTCATCTCCTCCTCGCACGATCTTTTCCATATCATCCCCACACCGCCGACCCACTCGTCATTTCCCATTCGGATTCCACTCGAGCTATGGCCTGCATTGCACACTATGACATTCAACGGCCTCCTCAGGGTATACTCATTCCATCTTCATTTTCTACTATATATTCGCTTAGCGAAAGGTTCTTGGTTGGTTTGTTCCTAGCCAGAGTTTCTTGTTGCTAATTATTCCTGGCCAGCCATTCGATCTTCAATATGGAGCCGGAAAAGGCAGCGGTTGATAAAAGTGTACAGTGACCTACTGGAAACGCCTTTCGTGATGCGCTGACCAAGTTTCTGACTCGTATAGAAGAACTGATTTCACAGACTGACTACTACCCTAGGATATTCCATGTATATAAACATATAATTGTAGAGCCAGAGGAGGAAATTATCGAAAAGGGTGGGAGAGCATATCCCAAAGTGGTTAGGAAAACAGATGAATTGTGACAAGCCCATAGATGCAGGTGCCAGACTACCAACTTCGTCTATAGCTAAACATTTAATCGATATGAACCATAAGGTTGATGTTAACTCAGCCTTTAAGGTCATCTATAAAAACGGTCAAGGACGTTTACTGAAATACGCTGAGGCTATAGCCATTCATAAACTTAAGCCCCCCTTGTGTATTCATAAACAGTTTGTTATTACTCTTAACCTACCTTAGTAATCCTTATTTGATTGGATTACCAAACGTTTGTGTTAATTATTCTTAATTCTTCTTTTTTGTCACCTTGTTTAATTTAACCTTTCCATATATATTAATTTGACAAGTAAACGTGTGATCAGATTGTTCGAAATGTATAGCGCTAATACATCACATTTTTCAGATAATCTCCGTCTTCTAATAATGCTATCAAAATATAATTGTAGAGCCAGAGGAGGAAATTATCGAAAAGGATATTTTTTGCTCAATTATTTTGTGTTTTATAAAAAGAAAAGTGTTAAGAGACTGAACATTTTAGCCCATTTGGAAATACAGAGCAAATGCGATCCTCTAAAATGTGAGGAAACAATTTGAGGAAATTACTAATGAGAACTTAGTAAAACATGATCCATCTTCATTTGATACTGATACGCTTAATAAATCCTTCATATGTGGTTCAGCAGATTCTGTGGTTTCTGGGGCTACAAATGAAAAGAACGATCTCTTCCCCGATTTTAATAGAAATCATACTCACAACTGTCTCCAGTCTTTGAAACCCATCCAGTCCATAGCTTCCGATGGTATTTTCGATACATCATTTTCCACTAATGTTGTGCCTGCTTCCTGGAAAGACATTAAAATTGTTCCCGTAACCAAATGATCAAGTGCACCTTGTGTCAAGTTTAGATCCATCTTTATTACCTCGACATCTTTGAAAATAATCACAAAATTGGTCTCTCTAAATCTTTAACCTTCATTGAAGGTTGTTAACCATTCAAAACAACTTTCTCAAAACACACAGTAGATGTACTTTAGATACCACTGCAGTCTTATGTTATGACATTTTCTCCAATGTAGACAGAGGTGCCAAATCTGTTCTGTGTGCCTTCCTTGATTACACATCTGTCTCTGACTCTGTGCCTAGGCCGCTTTTGTTAAGCAAGCTTGCTGTGACACAAGCAGGGTGCCAGATTAATAAGTGGTTGTATTCTTACCTCTCTGATAGGAAGCAGCACAAGGTAGATAATGGGAAGCCTACCTCTGTTTTACTTACTGTAGCCAGTGTCCCTCAAGGTATTCTTCTTCCTCTTTTTCTTTTTCTTTCTTCTTACGCAACTTGCCTCATTCTGCGAAGCCAATTTTGTTGAGTATGCTGATGATCTTATTGTTTGCATACTGGTTAGTTGTTTATCAGATTATTCAAAGCAGAAATAAGTAAGTGGTCGTTATCAAATGGTTTGTAGCTAAATTTCTACAAATGTCAGATTGTTAATCTCGATTCCAGATACAGGCACGACTTACATGAATCGGTTGGTTCGTATGGTTCTACTATCATAGATGGCACTGAAGTTGGAACTAAGTGGAATGTTGGATACCTTCGATTGTATATTTCGTATGATCTTTCCTTATCTTTCCAAGATATTTTATTTAAGTTTCTATGTCATGAAGTTAGGACAATCACGTATGGCTCAGTTTCTACTTTTACACTTTGTTAATTCTTGTATTCTATCTATTCTTCTTCATTCCTCTCCCTTATTCTTTGCTAGGCTACTTAAGAATGACTTTGTTACATTGCAAAGTCACTAAAAGCGGTCGGTTTGGTGAGTGGGGTGTATATGAACGAGTTCATTATTAGTGTTATAGATAGAATTTTGAACTCATGCAAGAAATTAGCTAGTGTCACCTTGTTGAAGTCTGAGCATCCTCTCTATACACGATTATCTCCTTGCAACTCACTAGGTGAGACCAGAAGTAACTAGAGGAGATTTTATGCTCGGATGGCTAAGTATAAAATCTCTATGATACACACATTCTATGTGATTAGGAAAGTGTTAGGCATGACAGTACTAATCTACTGAGAAACACTAAGCAAACGGCCCTTTTTATTCTTTCTTTCATTATTATTGTTTTAATATTTCCACTTAAATTTTATTTTCATATTCATATTCGTACTTAACAATGTAACATAACAATATAAATGTCCTAATTAATTATTTCCTCCCTGTACTGTGTAAAGAGAAATTAGCTTCAGTATTGTACTACATGCTGAAAGTTCCACAGCTTAACGAAGTTACTGTTTGAAGTAATGTCATTATTGTTATTATTATTATTAATGATCTCAGCTTTTTATGCTGTCGATCTTTGCATTGGTTCACCTTCTGTGTCACTATACCTTTCTTCTCTATTAGCCTTCAGGGTTCCGTTCAGAGACATTCTCTGTCTTATCTCTTCTTCCTTCCTAAGACCCCTGTACATATTTCCTTAAGCATCACCTTCAGAAAGTCCCAATGTTTCTCCACACAGGTTTCCTCAGTGACTCTACGAAGTGTCTCTGACTTTGTTTTTATAACTGCAGTGTAGTAGTACTTTGCAGTTTCGTCTTTTAGTTTCTGATTGTTGTGCTTGAATACTGGCCTGTCTGGGAATGTTATTAGGGCTTTCAGTTTGAACTTGAAGGTTCCTTGAACTAGATAATGGTCTGAGCCCATGTCTGTTCCTCCTCTTGACTTTGTGTCCTCCAGGCCGAGTCTTTACCTTCTTGAGCAACATTGAGATGAAGTCTGCCTGATTTTTGGTGTGTCCACGAAGTGAAATCCATTTCACCAAATGACCAAATCACTTAATGTATAGAAGTCTGAGAAGAGTTCTCCGTTCTCATTCATTTCTCTGACTGTTTTTTGACCCATAATGAATCCCTTTTTAGTATTGTCCGCTTCCAGTTTGGTTTGCATTCATATAATCCATTAACATTTTAGTGTCACAGTTTGAATTCTTATCAGCTACTGTTTGCAGTCGTTTTGTTTTGATCTGTCCATAGGCTCATAACATTGAATAACTATAGCCTTCCTTCCTTTTGAGTTGAATCTTGCTGTCACAATCTTGGAGAAGATTAGTTCCTACTGCATTGGAGCTTTGGCTTCTGTCGGTGACACCATGATGGCCCTCCCCCTTAGCGTTTTTGTGGCTGTCGTCTGGTTGACCGGAGTAGATTACTGACTCTCTGATTAATAATTTGGCAAGTCCATATCCATCCAACTGTTCTCGTAGATTCCTAGCACTCCTATATGACATCGTCTTATTTCTTTTGCAGCCTCGGAAGCCTCCCCAGCTTCGTATATTATGCGAACATTCCACGTCTTGTTGCTTGTATTTGCTTTCATTGAAAGAAGACACATCTGGCTGACTAGCTTCCTGAAGGCTTTCACCAGCCTGCGTCACTTCATCTCTCCGATTCCAGCCAAGAATAAACTTTGTTAAATATGTTTTTGTTATGCTTTGAAGCTTCTGTATCAGTCAGGTTGACTTTCCAGAGTAGGGTCGCTAGTGCCACACTCAGCCTACCCACTTTTCCTGGATTCCTTTGGTGGAGATTCTTTCATAGAATAAGTCGAAGTCTGTCAGAACTACCAAAATTTCTAATGCGATCAACAATATGCCTCCATTCACAACCGATTAATATCTTTCTTACGCCATATGTACCAATACACACGTATCTTTTGGGATAAACTATTTTTAAAACTGAAGATTTTCGTTCCCTTAAAAAGTGTTGGAAAAATCAAACTCTAATGAAACACAGATTTTTCATTTGGATTACTAAGAAGTGTAGCAATTCACTGGTTGTTTACGTCGACAGTGTATGATCTGTTGAGATGGCATATTATCGCTGGACAGCTAAAACATTAATCAGAGAAATCAGCTATATCTGTCACGTTGCATGTAGTATGGGTAGGTACAAGAAATTTAAAGAATGTGAAACACAGATAAGAAGTTTTAATTTTAGATAGAATAATAATTAACTAATCAGATGCTCAACAGTTAGATTCACTATTTCTGTTCTCCTTTCTTCTGAAAAACAGACATAATCCAGTTGTGTATTATTATAGGTATCAGTATGATTTAACACATTTGTGGTGTGTGTGATCATATGATCGCCATATCATATGATAGTCTAATCAGTTACTGAATGAAAGACTTAATTCACTAGACAGGTGCCATCATTTACCTTACAATGTTTTCTGTTCTGTGAAATGTTAATCGTGGATAACATAATTAAACAGCTAATGAATGAGTATATGCCTTAAAGCACTCAGTTTACCATTGATTCATCTGAAAAAGTCATACGCTTTATTTGTGTGTTTTTCTCACTAATGTTCCTTCATATGCACTAATCTTGAAAAATAATGTTACTACATCTTTGTATCAAAGAATTATCATATTGATATCTCGAAATGAATTTCAACTTCAGTGTAAAATTTAAGTGAATTGTAGTAGGCAGATACTGAAATTTGGAAGGATAGTGGCTGTTGTCGTCGAAATATGATTCACTTAAAAGAGTATAATAAGTTTGCATGAAAACACTGTATTAGATGCTGTCTCTTGTTGAGCTATTGTTAATTTGGTGCTAAAATCAATTGAAGAGATTATTTCCATGATCAGTGAATATTGATGGACAGGTCGTTGACTCAGATACTCAGATACATAGTTAAATATGCATGCAGTGGAACAGAAAGGTTGAAAGAAAAGCAGCAAATCAATATGATAATTCTTTCACCGCAAATACCACAACACACCGTGTTATTTATTTTTGACAGGTATTTAAAACAGCACTTGTAAAAGTGAAATCCTATTATTTGATGTAATAGTTTTGAGCAAAAGTAGGTGAAATAATACCTTGATGTATGTTCGAAAGCAAGTTTAGTTCATTTGGTTTTCACTCCGATATCGCCGTTTAATACACACTGGTAAGAACCTGAGTTAGAATGAAAAAAGGAATTACACTCCATTATTATTAATATTTAATAGAACTTTTGTTAGATTTTTTTTCACTGAAAATTTAAATCGTAGGGAAATACTGAGCAGATAATCTAATTATTTCAATGATGGCCAAGAAGAAGCGAATACGTGTTTTAAATATTTAAAATACTTACAGTATGACTTATTTTTTTTATAGTTTCTGTGAGGAAGATATAATTCTGATTCCAGACACTATGATTCGCTGTACATCGTTGCCATTTTTATGAATTAGGCAGTTTGTATATGATGAAAACCTTGATGCTCTTTCGTAAAAGTGTGTTAGACGGTATAAACCGTTTTTTCATTTAGTAACACTAATTTGCATTTGCTACTTTAGAAGGTGAATTTTTAAGGCACCATGTAATCAGTACAATGTTTTTACTTCTGAACCAACTTTTATTTCATGCTGAAAAAAGTAGTTACGTCAACAGTCTTTTTCTGATTTCCAACAGTTCTGCTTAAAATCGTTCTCCGCATTTTTGTATCTTCAATCCATTTGATATGTATAAATTATTCACATTGTGTCGCCATACTTCATTCAGTATCTCAGTCTGTTTTATGCAAATGTATTCACTCAATCACTAATGATAAGCAAAATTACATATGTATGACAAAAAGTCTTTCATAATAGTCGTTTTCACCTTAAATAACTGTGAAGTATCTGATACTTTTGTATTTTACAAGCTTTGCATCATGCAGCATTCTTCATTAAAATTTACATATTCAGCATTATGGCCCAAATTGACATTTGTATTTTGTGTGGGGATATTTTCAAACAGATAAAGGTGGTTGTCAAAGAGATAACTTACATATTTACTATAAGTGCAATGGCCAACAGTACACATACGACCATGAAGACAGCTCCAGGAAAGGCGGTAACTGTTGCAGCATATAAAGCGGGTAGACCACTCAAACTTGTCAACAGACCAATGCGCACAATGAATCCACATACTGATTGAACCATACCTGAAAATACATCGATAATTTTTGAATTGAGACACTGTTTAGACGATAAAGATTTCATATTACGCTTTTACTTCAATAAACAAAATGCGAACTAGGGAGACAGTAATGGATTTTTAGCAGTTGAGTTTAGCTGATTTCAGAGTAGATTTTGTCATTAACTGACATTAGACATAGATGCTATCTAACTGATGTCTGTTCATCATAAAGTATACCTGAATATTTTGGATTAGCTGAATAACTTTATGATCACACAAAAGATACAGAGATAAAGCTCACATGCTCAGTGTATCTCATGACTTACTATATGTTTAAAGTCTAATGAATAAATACATTAGGAAATGAAAGGAATCATAGTGGAATCTTCTCTTCCAAACAGTACAACACCACGGAGTGTATACAATATTTGTCAATCTTATTCAACAGTTTATGTTTAAGCTCCACAATGGAATACACGGAGAAGCCTTTAAAGTTTTATTTTATCATGACGCCCTTACATTATGCCTGTTGATAGACAAAAGTATGTTGAAATTGTACACTAAATTAAAAGACAGATTCAGCGAAGAAAATTTTCTTTATCGACGAAATCATCTTCAGAGACTGTACAGTTATATTTATACCTATACAGCCTCTGAAGATGGTTTCGTCGATAAAGAAAATTTTCTTTGCTGAATCTGTCTTTTATTTTCTTCATGACTCAATGGGTACACTAAATTATTTTATTAGAGAGTATAGGCTGCACGCAGCTGATGATAACCGAACAAATAAAATGGATCCATGTTAATCTACATTATTGTTTTTTCTTTCTCTACTCAAACAATACTCTTATTCGATAAGAAACACATTGATATGGCATTCTGAGCACTTCGAGTACAATTTACTGCTTATATCACATCATTAAATTTTCATACCAAAGAAACTTATACTTCTGCTATTAATATACACATAACTACAACTTGATATGATTATAGGCAATTTATTCTGCTCAAAACGTCATCAGTAAATAATACTGCACCACTATATGTTTAAGAAAAAAAATTTTATGATGGAATTATACTTTTTTACTTTGATTATAGCTTGCTCCCACACTGCTTTTGGTACAAATATGGAATTTTCAGCATGTGATATAGGTAGCCCAAATTTTGCAAGCCTACCATTGATATCAAGTGTGCGGCGGAAGGGGATCGAACCCCGGAACATTGCATGGTCGGCAAGAGTCCTAACCACTGTGCCACATTGCCCAAATTCTGTTTACATGTTGATGGGACAACTCCATAGCGAGAGCAAGCACAATTATAACTGACCTCAAAGAAAGTAACAAGCCAACATAACTAGCTCCACACGAGCAGGTGATTTGTAAACACACTCTGAAGTGTCTCAAAGTGGCAGTTTGTCCTTCACACATTCATTGATCATTTGTCGACTGCAGAAATTGATCCATAGTTCAGCTGTAAAGAAGGCTTTCCTCAGTGATCGGCATAAGCAATTCTTCAGGATATCAGCTGCGGTATCACTTTTGAATTCAGCGCTCATAAATAGCCGTTTCTTTGGCACTGTCTGGGGTTTTTCAGGCTTTTGCTTTAACTTCATGTTTTTCTCGAAAAATCTTGCAGGATTTTCATTCTCTATGAAAACCTGTCTGAGTCGCTCCAGTTCTCCATCGATTGTATCATTGGTACATATCCTTTTTATTCTTGAGGATAAGGGGTGGACCAGGTTTCTCTTTCTTCTCAAAAGGGACCCAACTATGAAAATTAGTGAACTGACCATTCTAAGTTACTTTCCTGTAGATTGATCTTTGAAGAGAACCATCAGGTCTCCTCTTTAGAAAAACATCCGAAAAAAATGGAATTCCAAGTTCATCTCTGATTGCGACGTGAACTGAATGGCATGATGGCAGCTGTTGAACTGTCTAGTTATCAATTCGATGTCAGTATTGTCGTCACATATGATGAAAGTATCATCCATGTATCTTTGGTACATATGGAAAACATTAGTAGTGGGTCGTAGCATTCTATTCTCTAGACTTGTGAAGAAGCAGTCTCCAAGTGAAGGACACAATGATGACCCCATTGCCACTCAATCTCTTTGTCTATAAAGCGTGCTCGTGTGGAGCTGGTTATGTTAGCTGCATAAAGTTCACAATTTCCAAACGCATCTCTAAACATTATTTGGCAAAGCTGGTTAGCAAAAATACAATGCAAAACAATTACTATATCAATTCTCGAGCACTTGGTGAACTCAGGCCACGCAGCTCCACCAGAGTCGTCTTTCAAGATCATCTACAAGATGAGGCCAAATGGTACAAAGGGCGTCAGGTATCGGCTTTTGTGTATGGTGGAGGCGCTGGCAATTTTCCAATACATTTACGAACTATGTATACGGAAAACGTTTGTCCAGTCTCTTATTCTATCTTGGTCTTAACCTCTCCACTAGTAGTTACCTGTAAAGAATTTTAATCTTTTTTAATTTTCAATTTTACTTTTAGTTTGCTTTTACTTTAATAATTAATTCACTATTATCACTATCATATGTTCCTTTTGTACATTTTCACAACCTCTTCACACTTGTTAAATTGACACTCAACTGCCTTTATTCTCACTCAATGGGAGTTTTAACCTTATCAAATTTCTAACTTTATGCCAATGAGTGCCACGTAATCTACAACTTTTATTTCTTTACACTTTGATCTGGATGTTTATATCGTATTTATTTTTATACTCTATTTCTTTCTAAGTCATATCAGTATAAGTGGCGTTTACATAGTTTATTGGTGTTGGTTATCAACACAGAATTTGCGGAAGGAATTAGATGGCTAAAAGAAGGATCTTATTTGATATTATTTCATAGAGTTTCCAATAAGTTGTCAGAGACGGATTTAGAGTCAGTTGGTGAATAGGAGCACTGTGTATCAGGAAGTTTACCGTGATCCCCGTTGAATGTTTTAAACCTGAAGGAACATGAAAAATCGTCATCATTTTGAAACAAAATATTCCTTCTTATTCGTTACTATCACACGGAATATTTAGGAAGTAAAATGATGTGTAATAGTTAATTAATAATAGTCCAATTGTAAGTAATGACTCAATGAAATATTCTGAACAAGTAAAATGAATTCTCGCCTTCTTTTGAGGTTTCCTCATAGTCCATACCTTCTGCGTCACTGATCATTGTGTAGATTTCACAAACTTAAAAGTCTTTGTTATTCTGAAATGATTTACCAAACAAAAATACTTTCCACACTCACCGTGTTTGCTGGAAGCAGTACACAATATGAACATGGTTCTCAACACCGGGACAATGAAAGACTTCATTAATCTCGGTAGGATGGCTAAAAAGGAAAATAAAAATTTAGTCATTTAATTAAGGACGATAGATACATGAAAAATGTCACACTGAATAAAGCCAATTTTTCAATCTTGGTGTATACCAGTGATGGAAACAGACGACATCATTTGTAAACAAACAGGTCTATTACCACTACCGGAAACAGAAATGAAGCATTTACTAATTTCTTGCACAAAAGACATCCAAATGAAATTTAACAATTAATTTTACTGACACATTGATGGGGTCCTCATGGGTTCACCTCTAGGACCTGTTCTATGATTTTTATTTATTTTTTCCTTCAAGTTCCCCAGTGGAACATAGGGTTTCAAGCTTGTGGCTTGAAGTTTCTTTAGCAGTGTTTATTTTACGGGATGGGGTTGCCAGCCTCATGCCCAACCTTTCCTCTTCACCAGCATTATTTCTGGCTTAGCGAGGTAAAGGAGTGCGCCGGCCGGGGATCGAACCCCGGACCATGTGCGTGGTCGGCGAGCGTCCTAACCGCTATGCCACCGACGCACAGGACCTGTTCTAGCCTATATTTTCATGACCTCTCTCCGACAGACTTGACTGACTTCTGCTGTTAATGAAATAACCTTTTGTCGCCGATATATCGATAATACGTTTTTTGTTCACAAAGACATGAGTCAGACATCTGTATCATTTGACCGTCTTAATGAGATCCACCCAAACATTAAATTCACGATGGAGTATGAACACAACGATGAGTCCAATTTCCTGAACTTTAATGTTAGAAGAAGAAATTATGGTACGGTCAAATAATCCATCTACAGAAAAGAAACCTGGACCGGATAATATCTCCACTATAACAGCTTCTACTCCATAAGCTATAAACGTGGGTTAGTGAGGACGCTTTATGACAGAGCCAGGAAGTTATGTTCGCCTAACAAGGTGGAGGAAGAACTAGGCCGTATTGAAAGGTGTCTAAAGGAAAATGGGTATTCAAAGCGATATATCCGAAAGTATAGCAAAGAAAAGGACCAGAAAACGAGATATCCAACTGTTGTAAAGAAGAAAGTGTTCATTTGTCTGCCATTCAAAAGGAAAGGCAGCAACAAAAACGACTGACAAGAAAACGAAAGGAGCAATAAAAGCACGCCTCCCTGTAGCCAAGCTCGTAACGTTATTTAGCATCACATATTCTCTAAGCCAATCCAAACTGTATAAGCACCCTGCTGATATCATCTTCGACTGCGTTTATAAATTCACGTGCATTTGTGGCAGCAAATACATTGGAAGGACAAAAAGAAGTGCTTCTATCAGGTTTTTACAGCATATCCCAAGAAACTTATGTCTAAGATGAAGCGGATATTCGCCAAGTGCAATTACCAGATACCTTGTGGATATGAGTCATTTCGTCAAGATTTCTAAATCTTTCAAAATATTAAACATACAGAGGATAGTCAATATACTACAATTTGCTGAAGTAATCGCAATCAAGCCTTTCAAATAAAACGGACAGAGAATGTAATCAATCACTCAGTACCTTGGTAACTAGATTTGGATTTTACTGATTAGTCAACCATATTAGTGACTTCAACTCAATGGGCAAGTTTTCAGTTTTATAAACTATGACCTTCTTCAGTTGCTGTGTAAATCTACTTGCTGACACTGTTTATTCGATACTTCTGTTATCTGTATTCACTCCTTTTCTACTCTGAAAGCATACGAACTGGCGGTAACTCAAAATAAAAATTGTAATGCTTATATTTCGGATGTAGTAATTTTACCACATTTTCTCTACTACCATCTAAACATTGAAATATGTTATTGCCATTACCTATAAGCATTGTAATTTCAGATAGTTTTCAGCTCGTGAGAACCTGTGAAATAGAATGATATCATTTACTACTGCTGTTTCGGTCTTTCTTTCTTCATCGAAATTTATCAGTGGGACCAAATGTATGAAAAATGAGAAACCTTTGCATCCAATGGAAAACTTAAACTTACCTATGTAAACAAGAAGATTTGCAGTTTGAACGGAAAACATGTAGGCTATACCAACTAGAAATCTGTTGCAAATCAACAGTATCAGTGTTATGCTAAGAGCAATCACAAGTACAACCAATTTGTGATGTGAATTTGATTGATTCGTTACATTTTCCAACTGTCCTGCATCTTCCGTTTCATTGGATTTCACTTCAATAACAGTTTTTCTTTTTCCCTCGAATTTCATAAGAAAGTAGGCTAGAATTACTGATAGGAAAGAACCAACTACGTCTACAACTCCTCTTAAGCAAAAGAAACAAAAATGCAACGAAATTATTCAAATATATAATAATATTATCTGGTATCTTTTAACTAGCTGTTTATAACAGTGTACCTTTACACTAGTTGATGTCGCCACGGTGAAGTGCAAGTTAAACTTTTATAGGAAACTTGCAGAAACGAAACAGTTAAACTGCGCATCACCATGACACTTTTAAGTCAGAAAGACAGAAATATTTTTTCTAAGGTTAACAGCACCAAAAGACAATTAGATTTTCTTGTCAATATCAGTAACACTGGGAAGATTTAATCGCATCATTTCAGTACAATCAAGATATGGTTCCTAGTCTTCATGAAATGCAACCTAACCGACAGTCGATGGGATTTACTATTCTACTATGTTTTATTTTGTACTAACTACATTAAGACTTTCGCAACTTAACCAAACAAGTCATGTATTTTTATTTTAAGAGTATAAGGTTTGTGATGAAGTATTACGAATAACGGACTGGTGGAGTATTGACCGAAAGTGAAACATAAACCCGGACCTAGTATCCAGTCTCGCGTTTCAGTATGTTTACTCCAGTTTGAGTCAGTATGGTATCCTAATTTTTGTCGAAGTTTTTTTTAACTCAATTACCTCTTGAAGTAACAAGATTCCCTCGTTATTCTCACTTTTTCTATGATACTAGTGCTGTTTACTGTGGAATAAAGCTGTCTATGCTTGATTAACAATTATCTAAGTACCAAAAGTAGGTCTAAAAGAAATTCTGGGTAGTGGCATATGGAACTCCCACCTGATAGTCCACTTCTGACCACTTTTATAGTGGAAGATAAGACTCTGATGAAGGAGTATATACGACCGAAAGTACTGACCAAGGCTAAACATGCAAATGCTTTTGAAGAAATTACACATTAAATGTGTAAGAATTACTACTGTTTGTTTTTTACCAGTTACAACAAAGATGTTGATTAGTATCACATGTCTGAAGCTTGGTGAAAGGCAAAGATAAAAGAAAATGACAGTTGGGTTTCCTTTAGAACACGGTTACCAAAACCGTCTCCATCAGTTACTTAAGCCTCATCACACACTGAAAACTTTCACTCCGCATCCTGTAATTAAGATTCCCTATTATTAGCTGGATAATTCTAGAATCTGAAATTGGCTCTTAAATAAATATTTGTGAAAGACTTTATGTAAATAAAAATCCTGCGAATGCATACACATTAAGAATTTCCCAAACCAATGGTAATATTTATGTGAATGACCCTTGAAGGACATATATAGAAAAAGCGTTAGTAACACATTTCTTACATCTGACAAAAGATCTCATTCTCTCAGTAAGTAGGCTATGACGCCTTTCAGGTGATAACACGAAGGTAAATATGTTTGTATTTGGTTGACGCATATTTCATCTTATTTGAGGCTCGTCATCTGGAGGTGCCGTCATCCCCAGTGTCAGATGGTGAACACACTGTGACTCCGAACCAGTGCACATCGTGTCAAACTCTTTAGCGTTATCCACTAGGCAAATTAGCCAAGCGAGTCATCTCTTATGCAGGGAATATCAGTTGTTAATTATTAAACTAATATATAAGTAAAGTATAATTATATTTCAATGGTTTACACACAATGATGCTTTTTATTGGAATATTTCGAGCAAAATTACGGCCCCTGTTCACACCACTGCTGCAATTGTTTTGTTCACACATTTATGATTTGTACTCATATATATACAGTTCATATTCTGTTCATTCATTTTTGTGTATTCAGAATTATATTCCAGGTTGTTTTCAGTTGTACTGAGTCACCCTTGTTACATGTATCCGGTGTGACTTTAATGAATATAGATTCTGTTATAAGTCTCTCTTTCGATTTGTTCATATTAGTTTTTAGAATACAAACATTGTTCCAATCGATATTGTGGTTTTTTGTCCCATCCATTTGCATCTTTAGATGAAATTTTTCTAAATTCTTGTAAACTTGTGTTCCTGTTGGTTGAGCTTTAGTTAGACGTTTTTGTTCATTCACTCATGTTTTGAGTGATTTGGACGTTTGACCCACATTTTTAGTCGGACACTCAGTACAAGATATCAGTTTGTAAATTACATTATTTTTATCCATCATTTTTATTGGATCTTTCAGTTGGTTTATCTTATTCTTAATTAGATTCGTCGGTTTAAACGTTGTGCGAATCCCAGTATGTTTGAGGTTTCTTCGAATCGCCTGTGATGTACCATTTTTGTGTGGTATCGTGACTGCTTTTTGCATTCTTCCATCTTGTCATTCTCCGGTTTTACCCTCTTTTTTCTCTTATCTTTGATGGATTCTTTTGGGTAGTTGTTGTCGAGTAGCATTTTTAATAAGACGTTTATTTCTTTACGCTGGTCCTCTGTTGTTGTTGTTGTTGTAAGTCTACGTGTTCTATCTGCAAGACCTTATATTAATCCTGTTTTTACCGTGAGTGGATGAGCTGAGTGATAATCAAGGAATTTTCCAGTGTGTATTTTTTCTATATAGCGTCGTTTTTATGCTACCATTTGTTACTCTTTGTATTTTGCCGTCGAGCGTAGGCAGTTCCCCAATTTCATTCTCTATTTTCATAGTGAATTTTATTAAGTCAACATGAACTATATGTTCAAGTGTTGGTTTGTAGGGATTTGATTGGTCCAGTACTCCCAGGTTTTCCAATGGTTCTCTAACTAATGTCAGCTCATGATGAAAATCCTGTAACCAATCAAATCCCTACAAACCAACACTTGAATATTCATGAGATGCTCACTAGCGACTTGCCCTATTCAGGTAGGTAGTTACCTGAGGTTCTAGTGAGAAGTCGTGACCAGTAGGGTGCAGCAGGTCGGGCGTGAGGACAAATACTCGCCGAAGACATTGGCTAGAGCTCGCGCTATGTTGTGAATTGGCAGAAGTTAGAATTCATGGGCCATTGGATTGGGTCCCAGTGGCTTAATGATATACGAGCTCGCCTTGTAACCAGAAGGTCCTGGGTTCGAACCCAGTTTGGGTGGGTGCGTATTGCTGAAGAGTCCCAAACTAGGACAAAACAGCTGTTCAGTACTCCCAGGTTTTCCAATGGTTTTTCTAAGTAATGTCAGCTCATGATGAAAATCCATGAACTACATGTATCAGTACAAATCATAAATGTGTGAACAAAACCATTCCAACAGTGGTGTGAACACGGGCAGTAATTTTGCTCGAAATATTACCCATAACGAAACTTATCATTGTGTGTAAACCATTGAAATATAATTATACTTTATTTGATCTATTCCACAATGCTCAAACTTTTCACTGACATTAATGTAACATAAGTCTTCATCAGTTTCATATCAACATGTGTAAGTACGAGACGTTCCTAAATACGCAAATCCTTTGAAAGACTTCTGCATCTGCTTCGTAGGTAAGGCTTTAGAAGTAGTTGGACAGTTCAAGTACATAGGTAGTTGCTGGAGTGCTGATGAAGGTGGAATGGATAAACGTTTTAACTGTATGATAATTACTGATGTGATTAACGTCAGATTAGGCATACAAATAGGAGTCACAACACATCACTGCGCATAATCCTTCTCTACATATGCGACACAAAAGATGTTTGGTGGCCCTTTGTTGTTCTTTATTATTAAGTCAGTAGAATGGTTTACTTCAGTAGTGTGTCATATAGATAATTATAAACTCCGGTGTTTGTAAAGAAGTGCCAATCAACTCTGAGTATCAGAAAGTGCCTTAAAGTACCCGTTTTAGTTGCTCTGACATGTATCATGTCATTTCAGAGGTTGTCAAGCCGTTCAACAGCTCTATCGGTAATAATATCAAATGATATTTGCGACAATTTGATCAATCTTTAAAATGAACATTAATGCCTGTGGAGTTAATTTTAAATGAAATTTTGTTAGGCATAAGTTTTCTGACAGCTAAAATTTTATGTTGCAATGTATAATTTAAGGACGCATCAATAGTAGAGATCTTATTTGTAAGTTATCACTGATGGTCAGCGGAAAATAGAGAGATTGTAAGCATGGTCCTCTTTGTGCAAACGCATTCACTCTTTTAATACTTTATGATTTCTGTTCAGACCGATTCATTAATTGTTATTTGTTTGTGGATAGATATACTTATTGGTAGTTTAATTTCGCATAGTTAACTACAACTGCATGACAATTATTTATGCAATCACTGTATCATGACAGATACTGTAGAACAGCAAAGGTTTCCATGTATTTAGGTGAATCAAATTGTGAATCACTACTACGACTGTGAATTTTCAAATTTAAAATCAAGGTGAATTTATTTAATTTGCCTGAACTAGAAGTAAAAACATGGGGGAAAAAATGAGAAATATTTAGGTTTTCTAAAGAAGAAATGAAAAATTAGCAGGCAGAGTAAACTTTTGATTAACTTACACATAAATGCTAATCTTTTGAGCATCCCACAAAAATGGAGCACCCATTAAATAAACAAACAAGTACTGTACATCTGATATAGCTCCCAAAGAAGTGAGAAATATTATGACAGATAGCATGATTAGAATCGGATCCAAGTGTTTACATATCTGCATTTTAAAAAAATAAATTAAAAAAGTCATTGTTATTCAAATGTAGGATTTGTAGGGATCTGATGTTCTCCAAAAGTAAATTTTGTCACGAACTGACACAGTTTTGAGAACAACTGAAAATTGTTGGTTACTATAGTGCTGTTTTGTCTAAATTCTGGATTCTTCAGCGATGCCTTCCGACCATCTCATAAGCGATTCAGTCCAAGACCACGCAAGTTAGTCAAAAGTCATAAAACTCTTTAAAAGGTTAGTATAAACCTAACAGATGAGTTTTCGGTAGTCATAGCAACACTGGAGAGAAAAGTGTGAAAAATACCTTAAAAATGTTTCTTTCATTTTGTTGAGGAAAAACATACTTTTAATTATCTAAAACAGACAACTACAGGTCGTTTATTAAGTGATACAACATCTTATTTCAAATCATTATTATTATTATTGCTCCCTTGGGTTCCGACTGGAACATAGGGATCCAACAACACATCTCCACTTTCTACTATTTTCTGCCATCCTCCTCAGGCGGGTCCACGGTTGCCCATAATCTATCATCTCTTCTTCACAAAATCTCCTCCATGTCACTCTCTCCCTCTGGGACGACACAGTCGTCGCTTCACTTTCGGATTGCAGAAGATATTCAATCTGGTTTCAGGTTGATGAAGGCGTGCGTATCTCGCAATTCCGATTGCGGCTGGCTGTCTGGCTTTGACATCTTCATCCGTTCCGCCTGTAGTTGGAACAATGCATGCTGACCATTAAGTGAAGGAGGCAACCTCTCTTAAATCTCTTCCTTTGATGGTGATTGGTGCTGCTTGTTGTTGTTACTGTTGATTGGTTATCTTCATCACCTCCGTTTTGTCTGTGTTCACCTGAAGTTCTGTTTTCTCTGCCTCTTGAGACAGTTTGTTGACGTTCACTTGAAATTCTTCGAGTTTGTGTGACATTAGACAGATATCATCTGCGAAATATAGATTTTCTAGAGTCTTCTTATCGGTCAGTGCACAGTATTCCTGTCTTCTCACTCCCCACGCAGAGTTTAACACAATTAACAATATCATCGGTGATAATATGCAGGCAGCATTCTCTCACTTCTGTGTGCACTTCGACGGCCTCGCTAAGTTTCCCGTTGTAGATCAACTGACACTTGACATTGTCATATAGCCGACTGTTGAATGAGGTTGATAAAGACTTTGGTACTGCACGCTGTCTGTCGAAAGTGTTTTCGATATCAGCGAAGTTAAGGTACACGTTCAACTGCCATTCTGCGCTGTGTTCCATGATGATGAGTAAAGTTGCATTTTGATCAGCATATGATTTGCCTTACCTGAATCCAGCTAGTTCCGGTTGGCGTAGCTCTGTTACCAGTGCATTTTTTATTCTCTCCAGGATGACGCGGATTAATATTTTACTTAGAGTGGACAACAGCACGATTCGATGCCAGTTATTATAGAGGCCTAGGTTGCCCTCCTTTGGCAGCTTGACGAGGTAGCCTTTCTTCCAATCGGTAGGTACCTTCCCTTCCTTCCAAACCTTTCGCAGTAATGGCATGAGAACATCTGCCGCAGTCTCTGGGTCCATTTTCAGTGCTTCAGGGGGGAATTCCATCTGATCCTTCTGCCTTCTCTGCTGGCGTACAGTAGCTTGATCCCATTCAGGATTTATTCTTTCGTTGATAGAGTGGTGTCCACTGGCATTTCCGTGTGTGTGTTGTTGGTGGTACTCCTGGACGAGTAGCAGGTGACGGTCGATTCAAGAGTAATGTAAAGTGATTAGCACATTGTTTTGTTTGTTTTTCATCTTTGGTAATCAGGTTCTCTTGAGCATCTTTTATTAGTTTCATCATCTGTGTTGATTTCTTCCTGGATAACGAGCAGCCTGGTTATCTGATGTAATGTCCTAAAGTCTATTTCACCTTGGGTCCTCCTGTTCAGCTTAAGTTGCCGGCCAGTGTATCGTAGAATTGTCTTTTGTCTTTCCTAGCACTCTTCATCACTTCTTTATTCAGTGCAGTGCACATTGAACTCAGTTTCTCCGATTGTTGTTCATCTTTGCATTGAGTCATCTTCTCTTTCATCATCCTGCTCTCCTCGATAAGCTTCCAGGTATCCGTTGAGAGCTATTCCTCGTCATGCCTTTTCTTTCTTCCTTTATCAATTGTACACGACTCCTTGAACACCACCCGCGGATAGCTAGTTCCAGTGTACTTCCACGCAGGTTCCCTCGCTGATGTCACGCAGTGTCTGCGACTATGCTCTGATCTGATCCACAGTGAAGGTATCCCTTGTAGTTCTCTCCTTCATTTCTTAATGTTGAACTTTAATTACAGTGGCCTGTCTTTAGTTGTTCTGAAGGATTCCAGCTTCATCTTGAAGGTTCCTTGAACTAAATGGTGGTCTGAGCTCATATCTGTCCTTCTTCTCGACTTTGTGTCCAGCAGATTGGCTGTGTTTTCACCTCCTTCAGCAGCATTGCGATGAAATCTATCCGGTTTGTGGTGTGTCCGTCAAGCGAAATTCATGTTGCTTTGTGTATACCTTTGTGTTTGTACACACTTCCTCCAATTACCAGAACACTGAAAGCGCAGAAGTCTGAGAATAATTCTCCATTCTCATTCATTTCACTGAGTGAGAGCCTCTCGATCCATGATGAGTTCTCTCCCTGTATTATCTGCTCCCAATTCACCGGGTATTCAAATCGCCTGAGAGGATTTTGATGTCACCATTTGGGATGCTATCCATTATGTTTGCAGTTGTCCATAAAAATCTTCCTTCTTCTCCTCTTCTGCGTTTTCTGTGAGTGTGTAGCACTGCATGATAATTGTGACTTTCCTTCCTTTTGAGTTGAATCATGCTGTCATGATCCTGCTGGATGAAATTGGTTCCCACTGGATTAGGGCTCTGGCTGCCACTGGTGACATCATTATAGCCACTCACGGCCTCAGAGTGCTCGAGGTTGTGGTCTGGGTGACCAGAACAGATTACTCACTCCCCTGTTGACAATTTTGATAATCCACATCCATTCCATCTGCTCTGGCAGATACCCAGAACTTCTATGCCATTTTCTCGCATTTCGTTGGATACTTGGGCAAGCTTTCCAGTATTGTACATTGTACGGACATTCCCCGTCCGCATTCTTATTCTTGCTTTCATCGAGAGAAATTACATGGGAATATTTCTGAATGCCTAATTTGCTCTTTTTTAAAGACTCGAGTTCTTCATAATAATTAAAGAATTAAAACAAAAAGATAGTCTGTGCCAAAAGAAACTGTGTATTTAGTTATTCGATCAAACTTCAGTTACCTGCAGCTTCTCAGAAGTACGTTTACTTTGTTGATTGTCCGATTGTGAATTGGCATTGTCTAAACAACAATCCTCGCAAACACTCCTTTCCGGTATGTTCAAAGCAACTTTCAGGGAATGAGATTCGCCCTGTTTAGTTTTACTTGAATTCCGTTTATGAGTCTCCGGAAGAAACGTAATTGATATCAAGCTTGGGACAAATATGCAAGCACATGTTGCGATACTGATTTCAAACCCATAGCGGTAGATTAAAGAACCTAAGGAGATTGTACATAAATGTAGATTGAAATTAATTTTAAAACTGATACTATTATAAATGCGACAGGTTAATAAGTGAAAACTTATGATTTGATGACTTGTGCATATACAACCACAAGGACATGGAAAAGGCGACCACCAGGTGGACACACCAAAAACAGAACGAACTTCATCAACATCTCAAAACCTCTTGCGGTGCAGTCTGCTGCATGTAATGTCCACAATAGGAGTAAATCTGGGCTGAGACCATTATCTAGTGCAATGATCAAATTCAGAGCATTCAAAGAAGCTGGAGACAGACCTCAAAATTGAAGGAGAAACTAAAAACGACACATTCTCTGCAGCTAATAGAACACAATTGAAACACAAATGAAATGAGCAGAACCACATAAGAAACCTTTCTAGAAGAACACTAGGACCCTCTGGAAGGGACGTTGAAAGACTCCTGTATGACAACCTTAGAACAAGGAATCGATCTCTAGGGACACATAGAAGCTAATAGAGGAGAGTGGTTCGGCAAAACAGTTGACAAATGAGTGCGAAATCGGTGACAAAAGGGGAAGGCGAAAGAGTTTCTACAACAAAGTGTCACCCAAAGGAGAATGGGTCACACGTAAGGGGGTCCTCAACTCAATATAACACAACTGGATCGCTATCCGGGAAGAGACCAACTCAGGTGGAACTAATCAAAGGCAATGAAGAGAATCTAATTGCCAAAGAGGGGAAGGAAAGGGAACAATGGATTGGTCATTCTGAAGGACTCCTAGACCGGCCAATACCTGCAGCTCGTCCAAAAATACCATCAACAACCACAGAACTACTAGTGAATACAAGTTCTCCGAAGAAAAACAAGATTTGTTAGTATCATTAAGTTACTGAAAGCCAGTCAGGGAAGAAGCAGGGCCAGACAGAATTCCACTGGAAGTATTAAACGAAGATTGACAGATCTCAGCGGATATCTCCATGCCCTTTTTACAAAAGGTTTGGAAGGAAGGAAAGTTAGCTACTGATTGGAATAAAGGACATTCTGTCAAACCATGTCAGAAAGGCGGAATAAGCCTTTACAAAATGTGGCACGGAATTACGCTCCTTTCCAGACCAGACAAAATAGTAGGTCACATGATCCTGAGGAGACTTGAAGACGCTCTGGATGGAAGCCTCATCCCTGAACAATCTGTATTAAGGAAAAATAAGCCATGCGTGAGTCAGATTGTGACGCTAATCATCATAATCGAACACAAGTTTAATCTCTACCTCAACTTCATCGGCTTTGAAAAAGCTTTCAACAGTACTGATCTTGAAGAAATGTGGCTAGTACTCCAACAATATGAAGAGCTGCAAACTTTTATCAACCTCATTCAACAGCTATAGAACAAATTCACTTGTCAAGTGATTCACAACAGAAAACTCAGAGAGGCGCTTGAAGGGAAGACAAAAGTAAGGCAAGGTTGCCAACTATCACCGGTGATTTACCTGACTATGGTGCAACAGATCACGCTTCGGACAATGTCGACCAACAAGAAGAATGTAGAAAATTAAGTATTCTCGGACGATTTCTGACTAATGTCATATACCCGGAAATAAATGTTTCTAATGTTATAAAAACCTGAATAACCATAGGAGAGAACCAACAAATTGAGGGAAGAGGTAGACAGCATCAGGTGAACACAGATAAGACAGAGGGGATGAAGACAGCTAGACAACAACAATAACAACAACAATCAGACACTATCAAAAAGCAAATCTTAAATAAAGTCATCCCCTTCACTAATCTGATCGCAACGGCATCGTTCCAGCTACGGACGGTACAGATGAAGATGCTAAAGACCGAAAGGATTAGTTCTGAAAAGCAAGTCAGGTGTTCACTGCCTTGAAATCGGTATGTAAATCTTCTGTCCTTAGCATGGATAACAACACCCGGATATTCAACACCTATCTCAAGTTAGTCACTGCTTCTACATAGTTCAGAAACAATAAACATTCCCAACAGCAGAAAACGTTTACCAATAACTGCCTTCACTCCATACTAGATGGCTAGAAATGATAAATATCGGGGAACGCTAGTAACAGAAACCAGGATCCTATTACCAAACAAATATTCAGAACGACGTACAGATGTATTGAACATTAGATAAAGAGATCGTTGAATGACATCAGGCACCGGCCCGTCCAGTGACACTAAAGGAAAGGCGATCACTAAATCGGGCATCGGAAGGTGACAGAGATGAGATCACATTAGGTGGAAATGAAAGCCTACAGGAAATCGTGAGGTCAGCTGAAAAAGACTTCAGAGCACAGAGTGTAATGGGTAGTGCATCTGAAGACATATTTCCCACTCGATCTCAAGCGAATGATAACAACGCTTAGCACTACTTAAATTCACGACAAGCATGTGTTACATGTTTCAAAAGCTTACAAAACAGACCTTTATTAGACGAAGTCAGATGCTGAATGAATAAAGACAGGCGCAAAGCAGGTAAGTACGTAACCTCATATAACATATTACTTTATGTGTAGATGGTATTTATAAAACATATATATCTATATATAGACTGAATTTCAATAAAGAAATTGGACAGTCTATAGCAAATATTTTTGAAGTATGTTCATTATTTAAAGACAAAAGAATATTTGATTAGAAACGGAAGAAATAGTTGACTTTCCTCCGTTTCACGTAAAAGGTTCCAATTCCTTTGGAGAAATTAAGCCTCCCTTTTTGAATTTACTTGTCATAGCTAAATATTCTGCCTCTTAAAATGAGTTTCGTAACAGAACATGAAGAAATATTCTTTTGGATTTACCTGCAACTAAGTTTCCAGCAGACATGCTTAGATTTGCCATGCCGTCAAAAATAGCGAAATGTGTCCATAAAGTGTCAGTATGAGATTTCTTTGTTTTCCTGTCTTTATTTTCTCTCCTCTGTTTGCCCTTATGTAGGCTTGCATCCATTATAGCAGCGCTGATCTGTGCATTAATCGTCAACAGACCCCCTCCACAAAATGCTTCGAATAGACCGGAGACTATTGTCAGCCATTCATTCAGCTTTAGAAGTGTGATTATACCTTAATGTAAAAAAAGAATATGAACAGTTATACAAACGCTAGTAATTTGAAATAAATAAATCATTGGTCGGTTACTAGAGAGCAGTCTTTATCTAGTTGTCCAGTCCTTGACACTAATAGAAAGCTATCAGTCATGTACACAGTGTCGTCACTAAGCTAAGGACTTAGCCATCCAGATGCACTTTCAGCGAATATTAATTGATTGCAGTCAGTCAGCAGAAACGCATAGATCTGGGTTTTGTTCTTATTGGCACGCGTCAAACAGAAGTAAATATCCCTCCTCAGATTCAAATACAAATTGCCTACTGATTCAGTCAGAAGCAGTACAACTGGACTATTCGCACTACAGTTGACCTAATAAAGGATTTAAGCGGATACACTGATTCATTACCGTGGAGTAAAAAGGCAGTTTATTCATTCCTAAGTGAACTCTCAAAAACTGGCCAAATGCCAACTGAATCACTTAGTAATAACTTCTAAAACTTTAGCGCAGGTCGTCAATTAGTTGCTATCAATTGCCAACAAACACGAAACCTAATTCCGGGGCTTCCTGTCCATTGTCTCTAACTAACTAAAATCAATGAGTCAAACAATCCTGTTAAAACATATTTTTAGTAAATTATATACTAAAGGCACCAGATGAATGTCAGTCAAATTGAGTCAACTGATTAGTTGTCTCCAAGCGTAAAATCTTGCTCATAAATAGACAAATCATAGTTAAGAAATAATTACAGGTTCTTTATACTGCAAAGAAATTTACTTTTGTGTTTAATTAAACCATTTGAGAAGGCTTACTGTCACATTCTCAGTGGGGCTAGTGGTGAAACGTCTGCAGTATTTACAAGGTACTTTGATCTAACGCTTCATTTTAAAAGAGGAAATTAAGTAGTTAAAAAATTAATAAATAAAACAGTAAGTTATATTGAGCACTATGTGTTCTGTTGGCAGCTTGTACAAGTACAATTTGACAACTAGTTGAATTCATTATAACTTAAATGAAATACAGAAACTGGTGTCGTCTAGTGATGGTTTCTAGTAGGTCAAGAATTGTCTGATATTTTATCTTTTGGGGCCTATTCTTATCTTTTCAGATTTCAAGATCAGAAATAATTGTGAAGATTCGCAACACTGAGACAAGGAACAAGATCAGGAACAGAACACCAATATGAAGTCAGTGTTTCTGCGTAGTTCGGAGAATTGCTGTTTGTGTCACTAAAAGCAATTCCAAAAAGCTGTAGACTTTCATCAGCAAATGCCTTGTCTGCTTCGCTACACAAGATCAAATAGCTTTCAGGAAGAAAAGACAACAATTAACTCTGCCAGTGAGGCGGGCAGTCAACAACCTATTACCTCTCTAGTAGCACCCAAATATAAAGTGATAAATTGTGCATCAGAGGGTGACACGGAATACACAGTGTAAGGGAGAGATGAGTGCTTGTCGACAATGGCACAGCCAGCTGAAAGTGACTGCATAGAGCAGAGTGTGCCACTGAGGTACTGCGTTACACTGGAATTGCAATGAATGAATCACACTAATAATAATAAAAGCACAAAAATTCAAAATTTTCTTTGAGATAAACTCCTAAAGGCAGGTTCTGAAGCATTTTAGGTAAAATTAGTAATGCACTTCTAGCGATTCTTAAGGTGTTTTAGGGCTTCTATCTCTGGCTTTGTCAGGTTAGGTTTTCCACGTTTTTGTCGTTTTAATGTTGGTGCACATTGCGCCCGTACTTCGCCAGCCGCTGTTTTGTCTATCCCACTCAGTGCTATTTCTGTTTTAGGGATGACATCCTCATGTTTCAGCTCATTTATTGCTGCATTAAAATTTAGTCCCTTTCCTAATACACTTATTTCTGTAGGACTTAATACATGTGTTGAGAGATTGATAACCCACTTTGTTTTACCGATCGCCGTTGACTTAAGATTGTTGATTTCATCTTTCTGAGATGAAAATTTCTCCTCTAAAAATTTATTGAACTTTTTAATTTGAGTATTTTTTAACTTTATGAAAGTTGCACTTCTAGTGAACCTAACTAAGTGTCAAGTATGAAAACTTTGAAACCAGTATAGGCCTAATTTATGAATCTTTGCCTCATTCGCGTTATCACTAGTGTGTCTAGTTAGCTGTCGGTTGAAAAAGTAAGCAAGTTTTTCTCATAATTTATTGTAATCCTCAAAAGATGTCGCAGTTAAAAACGGAACTAAGCTGTATCTAAACATAAGTTAGTAATGATATGTAACCGAATTTCTTTTGAACTTCGGTATATGCAAAATCGATAGCTAAATAGTAAGTTATCCACAAAACCAAGCATTAAACCGTCTTTCTACAATATTTTCATTAACATTTCTAGTTGTATGTTATTACAAGTTAAGAATTTATGGAAGCAGTGACCACGAATAGCGCAATGACTATGTGCTCACTGCTTTCGAATTTAACGCGTTTCCTCGTATAATTTCACAATACTCCTGAATCAATTCAAACGAAACACGGAGTATGTCTCTTCTGAAGTTATGGTTATTAAGGAAAATTTTATAATTCACTTTTCTTAATATGATTTAATTTTATTCTTTCACGAAATATTCACCACCAAATGCAGCATGATGCTGTAGGGAACAGAATAAGTTAGAACAAGATTGTAAATCAGGTTATTATGAAAGTCGTTTCTAGCAACGTATCTTGTTTATTGGTATTACCTGTAAATACCAAAATAAATGAATTAACATTATTCATTGTAATTGCTGAGTTACTATATGACGTAGACGCAGATGAGATATTTCAAATCAAGAATTTATCTTTCGTAACAGATCGCCTAAGTGGGTTTCTTCCTCTTTTCCCATTCAGATGGTTCCTTTAAGAATATCTAAGCATGTCTCTACATTGACTTGAAAAAGGTATGAAGATATGAGATAACTTGAATCTTCATCTGGCGCTTAAATTGATGGTCAGTCCACTTTATTTGTGTCTATCAATGAGACTATGAATAGGAGAAATGTTCTGTCAATGATATTTTGAATCTGTCAGATTCAGATAAACGTTACAAATAACATTTTAAATGAAATGACTTTTGAAATGAGTTGAATTTTGAACATATCACTGCGATGATTTTTCTAGTGGTACTCATCCATTAGAATGACTTTTTTCAAAGACCTGCATATCATGCATGAAAATATGAATTGACTAAAGTCCTTTCCAGTGTTAAATAGCTTGCGACGCGAAATAATTCCACCAGTTAATTTTTAATACTGGTCTAGGCGCCACACATCCTATGATGAGTAGAAATTGAATTGTAATCATAAATTAGCACTTTGTACGCGGAAATGGAGAACGAGACTGTAAGCAGAGGTGGGAGAATGCCTAGAAAGCAATTTTCAACAGATGGGGCTCATATAACTCCAGTATGCAATTTTTGCGTAATTAAACAAAGTTTACCGAGCAAATAATTTATCAACCGATTAAACGGAGAAATAAAGCGATTTACTTCTGAAAATGTCTAAAGACATTTCATGCGTTAAAACAACACTGTTACTATGACAGATTCCTTATCCTTGGAGAATTCACTTATACTGAATAGATCTCCAGTAAACTGTTGATACAATGCTTCAGTTATTAGAATCGGTGAATAAGTTTAGGTTATTTTTGATTATTTCACAAACTTTTATGGACTTAAGTCATGAAACTACCAGAATGTTGAGGAATCACTTGTTTGTTTTGAAGGTTGCAGATTCTCTCTTTTTATTATTTCTTTAGTTAAGTTTACATACATTAAGTGATAATACTATTACACTCATGGGGTATTTATTAGCTCCATATTACTTTCTTTTCCTTCAATTCCCCAGTGGAACATAGGGCTTCAAGCTAGTGGCTTGAAGTTTCTGTAGCAGTCTTTATTTTACAGGATGGGGTTCCTAGCCTCATGCCCAACCTTTCCTCTTCACCAGCATTATATGTGGCTTGGCGAGGTAAAGGAGTGCGTCGGCCGGGGATCGAACCCCGGACCATGTGCATGGTCGGCGAGCGTCCTAGCCACTCTGCCACCGACGCACTTCCATATTACTTACCATTATCGATATAAAATATCCTTAGTAATTCCATGTGAATACATCCTAAGAATTCTTAAACTAATAGCTATCAAACTGTATCTACCTTAGTTGGTTACACAAAAGAATTAAGTGTTAAAAATATAAATATTTTACAAAATATCTCACTCAGCTGATGAAAAACAAGGCGGGTGAACAATTCGACGTCAAAAATGTGTTTTTTTTCACGTACATATCATTATGATTTGCAACGTTTCACCACCGAGAAGTAAAGCAAATGCACATTTACGACCGAAACGATCTGACAGATATCCAATTATAAGTGTGGTTATCAAGCCCACGCTTATTCGTACTCCATTAAAAGCCGCGTCAACTAGAGCTGCTTTCCTCTGAGCTAATTTAAGATTCGTTGAGTTACCCGATGTTCTTAAAAAGAATCATTAGGCAATGATAAGTCAATTTGATTATTTAATATACTTCAACATGTTAAAAAAGAAATTGAACGCAAACACCCCATATTTTATAACATGGGAATACTTTTACTACAGTAAGGATTTAAAGTAGAGCAGAACTCGTTTAGTGTATCTGTTTGTTAGGATAAAAACAGATTTTTAACATTATACAAACAAAGATTAGTCATTTTACCATTAATAGCTTTTAATAATTAATAAAATTCGGTTGTGTGGCTTGAAGCAGCTGTTATCATCTGATCAAACACATTAAATATGACAAGTTCGCACAATTATTTAAATTACTATAGACAAGAAAAGTTGACATGTATCGGGTTATAACATTCGGACAATGTTTGAAGTGATTGAATTTCACTATGCATATGTATGAAACCAACTGAATATATATATACCCATAGAACCGGCACAGTTCATCGATTTGGGAACTGATGACACCAGTAAGTGATGGCCTTCTCGAAGCCAGTAGACCGATGCCAATTCCTTCAATGAAAGTCACAGTAAGCATACAAACGTCGAATGTCCACATCATGATGTTGATTGGTTGGCGACGCTGCTCATTATGCGGAAGAAAGTATGGTATACAATTATTATGAATCTGTGGTGGCAGACCGAATGCAAGTGGAGTCTTCAAATTTTTAACTACAATTATTCCCTTGGGTTTGAGTGAGGCTTAGGGCTTCAGTGGCAAATCTTAATTTCGTAGTGGTCACTACAGACCTCTTCAGCTGGTCCCGGGATTACTCATAAGCTTTTATCGCCTCACCCTTGGATATCCAACTCGACATCTTAGAATGGTTTACACTCAAGGATGTGGCACGTGATTTCACTCAACATTCTCCTCACTGCACTTCTTATCCATCTCCATTTAATTCTGCAAATGTTTCAGGAGGTGGGTTCTTGGTTGGTTCGCTGCCAGAACTAGGTGCTACTTATAAACTTTAGCCATCTAGTTCTCACTGTCGAGGCAGTGAAGTCAGGTATTGATGGAGCCTAAGCCTTCTTGTAGTGCTTTCTTTGACGCCAGTACCAAGTCTGTGAATCATATACAAACACACACTAACCTAACATTAGTGGTTAAAAATTGGATTTTTTTATTTATGCTAGATGAAGCGGATCTCCACACGGATTTCAAAGTAATGAAATTAAAAGTGAACAAATGACCATAATCAGAATGCTGTGAAATGAAAGCTACGTCAGTGAGATCCTGAGTGATCACTGAAATAAAAAAGCTTATTTAAAATTGGTTATAAGAAGGAAGATCCATCTTCACATATTTACAGTGCTTCAAAATGAAGAATAATGTTGTAATTGATCTGAAAATATTCAGTAAATAATTTACACCAAGATTGATTAACTGCAATGACGTACATAGGTAGTAAATATAATAGGGTCTTGGAATTTTTGAGTTTCCCCTTTTTTTAATAAATTGAATGAGATTTTTACAATAGTTTAAACATTTTACTTACAAGTTTTTATAGTTCTCAAGCTCGTCTTTAGTTGCATATGGAATTCCATGTTCATTTAAAGACCTGAATTGTGGTAAAAATGAAGGATTTTATCAATGCGGCGTTTTACATTTCTATTATTGAGGAAAATTAATCTGAAGTCTTGTTAATTGTAATAAGAACTTCTACTCAACTGCACGTTAGTCGTTATTTTTCATAGTACTACAGTAAACTAGTAAAACAATATTGTCAAGTGTTGGTGTGAAAAGACTCTACCGATCTCAAGTGGATCACAAAATGAATAGTCGATGGCTATATGAATAAGAGACAAGTATCTGTTATTCAAAGATACTTTTCAAATAGTCCATTATTCTTAACATTAATATTGACATATAGGAAACAAACAAAAGATCATGAAATATATTCATCTGGAGCATTCGTGACCGGAAGGCATTGGCCTTGTTTCACAAGAAAACTAAAAACACTCATTGTCAGACAATATCGGAATCGATATTTTTAAGTCAAGTGAAATCCATGCTCCATGACATTGAGAAATGCCAACTAGTTTAATATAATCACGTAAGACCTCATTCAGTAGACAGAAATTTTTCAGTTACTACCGTTTAAATATAAGGTTAAACGACGAAATTATTCCTAAGTAAAACAGAACTGTTTCCCCAGTCTTAATATAATATAATTATTATTCCCTTAGGTTGTGAGTGGAACATAGGTGTTTAGCAGCACATTTTCCAACCAACACATTCCAACCTGTTTTCCGCAGTAGTTTATAGCTGGCTGCATGTCTTTCTGTAGGCACTCATCTCTTCCTCACTCAATCTCCTCTGTGTCATCCACGGAAACCTAACTCGCTGTTTTCTATTCGGGTTCCATTTGGGGGCACTCAACAGTGTGCATCCTACCCATCTCCGATTTTGTTGGTTATATTTGTTGGGCTCTTGGTTGTTACGTTCCCAGACTTCCTTGTTACTAGTCTTTTCTGGACATCCAATCTCATGTATTCAGCGAAGACAGACGTTGATAACAATTCAAGTATCCGAACCATACAGAATCGCTGACTTGGCATTATTCTTGGAAATCCGAGTTTCGTTCTTTATGCTGGGTTCAGTATATTTCTACACTGAATTCAGTTTATGGAGTGTGTGTCTCACGTTTCCTATCCTGGCTTTGAGATCTTCATCCTTGGTATCTGCGGTTATAAAGGTGCTGGTCGTGTCGGATAAGTGAAAGAGATAGCTTCCTAACGTTTGCAGTTTTGTAACTAAAAGTTCTGGTTTTTATGAATTTCAAGTAAGTTAACTGAAAGGGCGCGATTCCCTTGTTTATCTTGAATATATATATATATATATATATAGTTTGTTAAATGATGCCCTGTCGTTAATCTAAAAATTTTCCTTATATCTAATTCAGATTAGAGGTCTGATGTAACCTAATTTCTGTGACTCAGATTAAGCTCATTTTCTTTTTCACAGATTAGTCACGTGATAATTTATATCTCACTTTTTACATTCATTTTTTGGATGAGAAAACTTGATGGCGTCAAAATATTAGTTATTAAGTTTATTGATAACTTACAAGGCAACATGTGATAAACTCATTAAATATTTTCTTCTTGCATCCACTCTATAATAACGTCAAATTTACTAATATTTCATTCATATTCAGAATGAAGTGAAATTATAGAATACAGCCGAAATATAATTAAACAGTTCAGAGAAATGAAGTGATGAACCCATGATCATTATCAATTGGCAAGCTGTTTTGGGGAATTTTTGGTAAGCTGAATAACCTGGGTGTCACCGTGCCAACAGATTCACAAAAAACGGCTTTTCAATTAGACCGATCCTCGATATGTCGAGCTCATCTTACCATTCAGCTGCGAAATGGTTGGTGGAACTTTTACAGCCACTACATACGAAACTTGTAGGAAATAGCGTTAAAGATAGTTTCCAGTTTGTAGGAAGAATCAAGGAATTAAATGTGAAGGATAAAAACATGATATCTCTGGATGTATCTTCCTTATTCACTTACGTACCATTGATGGAAGCAGTTGATCATATAGGTAATTAACTGATGCAGCAAGTTACAGAGACTGGAATTCTTGTATCTTGCCTAAAGGGACTTCTAGGGTGTATTATGAACGTACATTTTCTGTCCAGTAAAGAAATGTTTGAACAATCAGATGATATTGCCATGGGATCACTATTAGTTTCATTCCTAACGGATTCCTTCTTGGTGAAACTAGAGAATGGTTCTTTTGAAGATGTAATATATAACCTTGATTTCTACTGCCGATGTGTTGATGACACATTTACAGTTGCGAAGGAAGAAAGTGAAACTAATGACATATTAGAGAAATTCAATAAATCACATCCTGGCGTAAAGTTAACTAAAGAAGAGGAAGAAAATGACTCTATCTCGTTTTTGGACTTCTTAAGGACTAAGAGAACAGACGAACAATATTTATACTCTTGAGTCGGAAACCTACTTCAACTGGACAATATACTCACTTCCTGAGTTTCTTACCTCTACAATACAAACGCAGTTTGGTCAGATGTCTGGTTCACCGGGCTAGAGTTATGTGTTCAAGTGCGACACTGAAGGAAGAACTGGGAAATATTCATGATCTACTAAGTAGAAACGGATATCCGGCTAAATTCTTAAACAAACACATGAACTCAAAAAGTAAAGAGTCCAAGGTGCCCACTGTCATCAACCAATCAGTCTTCCTAAGATTACACTTCGCGGGTGATGTCAGTAGTGAGATCTTATCATAGCGTCCAAGAAGGACCTAAAAGGACTTTCAACGCAGCTAAGTCATGCTTTACATTCACTAGCTAACCAATACTTAGTTCAAGAAATAGACAGAATTGCCTTATTTCGCCTCTCCCACGTGTATTTACTAGTTTGACTGCTCGTGTGGAACTAGTTACATTGGGCGTCGAATTTCTGAACACTCCCCATCTTTGTTTGGCAGAGGCTGGAATAAAGTCATAAGCAGCTCAGTTCTAGCTCAACTTGTTGTAATTGAACATCAAGTTGACTCTAACAAAGCTTTTAAAGTTATTTATCGTATATCACCCGACTTCTAGCATGGTCTATGGGTACGATTTTACATGCAGCAGAGGCAATTGGAATTCACCTGAACAAACCAAATCTGTGCATTTAAAAGAAATTTATGCAACCCCTTTCTTTGCCACGGCCAACTACATAATATGTATTAAGTTTTTAAAAACAATTTTTCCCTCCCCTTGTATCTATCTTTTAACTTAGATTTTACAATTCTGGCTAATTCTATTAACTTGTTTGTATTTTGCGTAGTTTTTCTGAGTCATCCTATTCTCCGTAGTCATCATTATTTTACGAATTTTGTGATCATGTAATAACTTATTGCTAACGCCTATGAATAATGCATCTTGAATTCCGTAATTAATTTTCACTGCATCCTGAAGACCTAGGTATCTTATTACTAACATCTATTGGTTAATTGTTTTGATGACTTTTAACATCTTAATTTCACCCCCTACACCTAAAACTGAATTCCTATGTTTAGCGAAAATCACCTAATTAGGAACACTGAAAAGTGATTTTCGAAACATGAATTCATTTAAATATTCATAAAGGCAAGTCCAATGGATAAGTTGTGGTTGGTTGATTGACATTATGAATAAGTGTAGTTTTGAAGTTTGAACTAATGGACTGTGATACCTTCGGAAATGTTATCTAGTGTCTAGAAAACTTTAAAGATTATGTTGTATGAAATTCGGTTAAGTTATACATCAAGAATTGCTCAAAAATTAGACTGTGACTGAAAAGTAGGCATATATTAAAGAGTATAATTGTTTAAATCTCAGCAATATCAGAAATGTTAATCCCAGCATATCGTTTTGGCAAGGCGATCTGAGTTGTTTCAGTGAAATTATCGAAACTAAAAATACCATTTATCTCTTATTAAGTCACACTTTATATTTAAAATTCTTGGTCAGTTATGAGTGAATATGAATGATTTTCAAATTCAAAATTATTGGTACTTTTTTGCTCATTGCAAATAGTGTGTACTCACACACTACTTTTCAATAAATATGTCGTAGAAAAGGTCATGGTGATAAAGAAATTATAGTAAGGTGACGTGTATTTTGAGAACATTTATTTGAAGTAAGATGAAATGGCTGGGTAGAGAAGTGCATGCCACTTGTTTGTGTGTTGATAGACACGCATTATTTTCCTGATGAAATTTAAAGCACTTTACTGAATGAAACATTGGAAATACTTGTTTCAGTATCTCTGAAATTTCTTCAAATATTTTTTTTCTATATATGTGATTTAATTGTTCACAAATCAAGATAGAGCAACTGTCTAGTGCTCCGTATATTTCAGCAGGACATTGATTAATAAAGCTGAGTAAGCATTTCGTTATTCTGTTGTGTTGTGGAATAGAGTACTTGACGTGAATCTGTTAGTCAGTAATGACAGACATTTCCTATCTTCTTCACGGTACATTTTTACTAAATAAAATCTATGATGGTAGAACAGTTTACACCTTTTTAAACCTCACAAGAACTCATATCAGTGTTTTAAGCAAACAGGTTTCTGAGGCAAGTTGTTTGACTGATATCTGCTATGTAAGGTTCAATAAATTTAAACTCACACTAAGTAGTATATTAGCTTCCATGCCTATCAGTGATACACAACAAAAAACATAACAAAAAAGCAAAAGTACTCTATCTAAGCGCCTGATCGCAACAAAAAGTTACTGACGTTAATCTTTATTATTCACTCCGTTCATGCGATGCAGCCGCATTTGTCTATATGGAATTAAGCAGATTAACTGCGAACATTTTTGAAAGGTTTCACTTTCATTAAAGGTATTAAAAATGTGGTGAAATCTTTATTCTTATACCAGAAAACCTTTAATTATGAAACAACGAATTCTTTAGTTATGTTTAAACTGTTGTTCATTAATGGCGGCACTCCCCACAAACAAACTGCAATCTTCTTACTCGTTGAACATTTAACATTGAAAGTATTATTTCATCAAATATGACCTTCTCGAATACACCTAAAATATCACACTGTTTAAGAGCTCAAATGTTAAAATAAGATGACTCAAATATGGGACCGACGATTTACATTATGCTGATTTTCCAGTAGTTGAATCACTTTTTGTCTTCAATAAGGATCGTTTATAAAATGACACAGAAGCAACCTGAAGCTTAGTACCTTTAGACTTACTCGTTGGTCACTTGTCTGGGTTCACTCATTACTATAAAATGCGTTACAAGAATAAAGAATAAAAGCGTGTTGCTTAATAGGATATTTTTAAAAGTATTTAACATCACAAATTCATAAACAATACATGTTACATGTGTGTTAAACTCTTTACCTTTCGAACACATATTGATCCGTTATGAACAGACATATTTCAACGGAGAGATTGATGGAGATACATAGGATTGTAAGAAGAACGAAAAACGTACTACGTTTTATTTCCATGAAACCAATGTGTATTTTCAGAGAATAACTAATCCATAACGACCATAACGCGAAACAATTGAGGCTTTGTTATATTCTATAAGTAATGACAACTTTATGTCTTGATGTTCACAGTGAGTTCTTATAAATGAACTTGCTCATTTTAAAAGATATTATAACAAGAAACAATCTATGCACACTTACGGATGACTCAAATACAATTGGTTGATTGGTCTTATGCATGTGACTTTCGTGAGTGATGCGTGAACATACCGAGGAATTTAGTTTTCTGATACGCTTTAATACAATACATATGTATATATATATACATATGGTAATTACGGTTTATATATTTTAGATGATAACTTGATACTTTTAACAAAAATATCACCAACTTCTCTATAAACCTAAGTGACAGGATGCATATTTAATGTGGCTTACATATTACATGCTATTTTGATGCTGTTTAGAAAAGATTTTTATTTCTGTAATATGCAGCAGAATAAGGTTCAAGTGATTTTATGCTTGTGTTGCATAGGACACAAGATAATTATCAAAGGTGGCATACTAAAACTTAAAACAAATTTTCTCCTGGTATTCGTTACTTATTACTGTTTACGCTGCATAACTGTGTGATAATAAAAATGAACTTATCTAATATGGAATTCATTACTTAATTTCCAGTGTAAACATAAAGTGTGAATAGAAATGATGCATTTACCAATAAAATCAATACACAAGGGGATTTCAGCGTCACATCTCCATTACTCCTGGTTCTTTGTCATCACTTTATCTGATTTTACGGTTGACTACAAATTTACATTTCCCACTCACATGATCATTTCCAAGTCACCCTCGGAGTTGAACCTGTCACCTAGTATTCTGTCTTTACGGTCTGTTTCATCAGCTCATGCGTATCCATCTGTAGATCTTCGACATTTCGTGAAATTAGACACAAAGCACCAGCAAAATTCAGATCTTATAGGGTATTCATCAGTACAATTTATTCTCACTTCTTCTCATGACCCAGTCCACCACAATCAGGAACACACTTTTATTTCATATCAATTTGTTTTTTACATATATTACACAGTGATGAAACAGTAGTATTTACTGTTAAAAACACAATTTATTGTTCATATTCATATAAATTATAATCACACAAACGTCGTCCACTAAGTAATACTGTTTCATCATTGTGTGATATATCTAATAAACAAATGAATATGGAATTACCTACTACCACAGTGTCCAAGTTTCACACGCATATTAACACACTTTTATTTGGCGGAAAACTTGTTTATTCGTCAATACTCAATGATAGACAGCTATACATTTTCAGTAAACAAAGATGATAGACAGTGGTGGCGAAATTGAACGACGTTACACCGAGATTTACATCTGTAGAACTTATTCGTTCTCTGCTTCTTTTGTCTTTCTTCCATGCTTTTTATCCTCGTTCACAAGGATCTTTCATTGCTTATATTTGCAATTTAATCCAACGTTCCAATACTCAAGACTGTTGCAGAAGATACCACACACATTACACTGTCTATAATTTCTGGTCTGCAGTAGACATTAAGGTGTCCGCCTCGCCAAAACATTTTGAGCGGAGATGCTCCTATATGCCTACGTTATCAAAGCACCACCTCCTTTATGCAACTGTATGCATCTAAAGAGTTGGTTAGCGTTAACGTGTTTCTTTTGGTCGCCTCTTCTGATGGTAGAAGCAGAACGACGTCTCTCAGTGAAAGCATATGTTCCTTCCCAAATTAAGAGTATTTTTCTTGACTTCCAACTACCAACGTTATACATTTGGTCCTTTCTGTGCCCCTGAATTTTGTAGCGCAAACCTTCTGTTTATACTTCATATTCTTGATTACTTTGTTCCTCCCAGTTTCCTGCCATTCTAATCTGTATTTGGTGGTATTCATATAATCCATTTAAATTTTGATGTCACCATCTGGCTGCAGTCTTGTCCATTACTACCTGAAGTTATCTGTAGAAATTCCCCTTTCTTCTCCACTGGATCTGTGTCGTTTTTAGCTGCAGAGTATTGCATTTATACTTGAATCTAGCTAACATGATTCTTTGGGAGACTGGTACCCACTGCATGACAGCCTTATATGGGGTTTTTAACATCAGGATATCCACTCCATAAGGGCTGGCCGTAGCTGCCGTCTGAGTTACAGGGGTAGATTATTGAGGCTAGCTAATAATTAAGAGAGTACACTTCCATTCCATCTGCTTTCACATATTCCTGACACTTGTACACGAACTATCCCCGCTTCTTCTGAAATATGACCAGCCTTGCCACGCAACCACTCTTAAATTCTGGACATTCTACGTCTGAATGCCTAATTTAGCATTCATCTAGAAAATGCGGATTGGTCAACAGGCTTCGTTGAAGACTCCACCCAACAGGATAATCTGTACTCAGAATTTAGTCTTCGGATTCTTCGGGCAAATTTTAGTAAAGATCAGGTTATTTTATGGGGTGTGACTGCTAGCCTCAAGCACAACCTTAATCCTTTTGTGGGCTTAGGATTGGCTAGTAAATTATGAGAAGTTATTCAGTAAAGTCAAAAAAATATTTCAGTGACTGAAATTTACCTTAAATAACCATATAGATTATTTTCTGATGCTATTACTCTCTGTTGTGCCAAAACCCAAAATTTGACTAAACTGGTTCTCTTAAATTCTCCCACTTATTTTCTACTACTACTAAAAATTACAAGGACAAACAACAAAGACAAAGTTGCCTAGAGAATACACCGTGTAACAGCTGTTGTACAAGATGAACAACGTTTCTTTTAAAATGTTGAAACCATTCGGTAACTGCTAGTGAACACTGAATGGTTTGTTTACTCGAACTGGTCTTCATTTGATGGGACATATGGTCGTTGTCAGAAGACGGCAGAAATACGATCAGAAGTATAAGTGTACATTCTATTAACATTTATTTACAAACTTTATTGATAGTAACCTGTATTTTAGATTCGTTATCGGTTGAAGAATAAACAGTCGTATTGCCCAAATGTCTGCCGTTGTTCAGTGTCGATTACCGTACATAGTATTCTCCGTATTGGGCTTAGTCTTCTGAAATCAGTAATTGGTCCAGAATCTTTGCAATTTGGGTATTTGACTTCTTCAGGTTAAATGAATCTTGAATTCCTGTAAAAATTACATCAAGTTCCTTGGTACGCTTTCCTTTCTAAACGATTATTATTGGTTTCAAAAATACACTCCAGACTTTTAAATTTAATTGTTTTCTTAGTATACACAAGACATTATTGCAACCAAATATATACTTTGTTTCAAACTAGATATATTTCAACAATAATATTAATTTTCGTAGAAATCAACCATGGAAGACTTTGAATATGTCTGCGTTCATAAAACTTCTAATCAACAGGTTTTCACTCGCAGATCAACAAAACGTGTTAACATTCTCCCAAGATGTTCAACTAGCAATCACTAGCCTGCTTCACCAAGTAAAGTATCTAGTCGCTTGTTTTGAAAACTGATGACACTTTGCCTAAACAGCTGTGGCTACTAGGATCGCCTCAGATGATGCAGGGAATCATATCACTCTTCCACAACTAACTTTTAACGGAGCTAGCAGAGGCAGTTGACAGAGTTGTAGTGACTACTGGGCCCAAAAAAAGCATTTCTCCAGAAGTATCTGCTGATTCTGACCATGATAAATATCCTTCTCTTCTTTCAACAAGTGAATCGTCTAGTTTCAATGTGGTGGTTCACCTCACTGAACTTTATGGACAATTGTGATGTATTATGAAAGAAATAAAGAATAGAAATCTGTCTCATAATTTAAGAAGAGAAGGCAAGACATGGAAGCCAAGGTATGGTTTTCATTTCAAACCGCTGTTTGTATGCACACAGTTTATTTTCGTCGACCAGTCACTTAGCGTGTGATTTCGGCTTACATTGAACGACATGAAATAGAATGTTCAAATATACATAGTATTCTGTTGCTAAAGCAGTACTAAACTGTGGGAATATGTGAGAAACATATTCCGTTGGAACATATTGTCTGTATCACACCAACACAATAAGAGCACACCTGACTCTTGAAGCAAATCACTCGCATTTTCCGGTAGTAGGTGATCAGTGTCAAAAAATTTCCTATCCTGATTGTTATTGTACCGCCGACGTCATTGCAGCAGTTGTGAAACATGCACCTGTCCTCCTATTTTTGACACGAAGCAGTTGGGAATTGTGCAAATCGGCAGGTGATAGTGTCTAATATCGCGAACAACTTCCTTGCCACTTCTTCTATGATACAGATTGTCATTGCGGGTACACTTCCTGGCTCATACTGGGGTAGAAGCTAACGTCATTTGACCTACAACGGAAGAGCGTCTGTTGGCAACATTCCTAAGACTGTGTTCCACCAAAGTTTTCTTTATTACAATTTACGGTCGAAGGTACCTTCCCTTTATCAGAATTCGCCGTTCTGCAGATAGGGCTTTTAATTTAACCGGAATCGGTGATATGGATCTTTTGCAGCTGTATCAGTTACTGATGGATGCTAGCAAGCGTAGATTGACAGACTCTACCAGACATTTTTAAGTTTCCGGTATTGTCACACAGATGCCTTCTGTCAGTCCAGTGTGCTCCTCGTCCGGTACTTCACATCTCTACTCTTCTGTTGAGCAATCTACAGATTTTCAAACCCCGTCTTAGTGAACCTGTATTCGGAAACCCACGGAGATTATCTCTACAGAAACTCGAGGCTCAGTTCAAACCTATTTTGAGGATGAAGATAATCAGACTATCCAACAGCCCAAGGTCTTTACCACTGAATGTGGTGCTTACAAATAATGCAGTGGACTGAAGGCTTTGTAGTGATTATCGAAGGTCCAACCCTCAAACGGTCCCAGACCGTCCCACACATACACTACTTGACAGAGAGATTTCGCTGTATTCAGCTGTAAGCTTAGGAAACAAAACAGATCAGATATTCCGTACGTCCTCGTTTTTAACCTTCCAACTGATGATATTTCTTCATGTTGGAAAAAAACTGGGAAGAATTAGGCCACTGGTGACTAGAATTTACATTTAAACTATTGTCAGGCGGCCTGCTTAAGTGAATAGGCCACCAAATTGTTTTCCATTTATCAAAATGTATTGTATTTAATGCATTTGAAATACTTTCAGCCATCCAACTGCTTTCATTGGTCATGACCTACACTGATGAACATTTCAACCTACTGCTGCTAGTTCTTAGAACGAAATGGAGAAA